AGCAGCAGCAGCAGCAGCAGCAGCAAGGGTGTGTTGATATTTGTGTCTTGCGGTGTCATTTTGTATTTAATGTAGATTTATATGAATCACCTGCATAGAAGAGCGAGAACCTGCTGCTGCTGCTTGTTGTTGTCGCTTGCTGCTGCTGCTGCTGCTGGCGCAGCAGCAGCAGCAGCAGCAGCAGCAGCCGCAGCACCCGTTGCTGCTGCTGCTGTCATCCCCTCTCCTCATTTATCTCTTCTTTTATACCCCTTGATACAATGAGGGCAAAAAGCGAACGTGTCTACAAGCCAGGAGCTAAAGAGGTAAACATAAAGTTTGCTGCTGCAGCTGCTGCTGCAGGTGCAGCAGCAGCAGCAGCAGCAGCACAACAGCCCAGCAGCAGCAGCTACAGCAGCAACACTTCCCTGACCCTTTTTACCGTTTTATTCGCATTCTTTTCTTCTCTCCTTCCTCTTATTGACATTTATTGACTCTTTTCTTCCTTATACAGCAGCAAACACCAACACAGCAGGAGCTGCCTATACACCCCAATTATATCCATGGGCCGCCCCCGTGCTGCTGCAGCAGCATCAGCAGCAGCAGTTGGGGTGTACATTCATCTCTTTTTATTCCTTTCTTTATTATTTACTCCTGTTGTTCTTTTCTATTTAACACAGAAATGACTTAAACAATCACAGAACAATGCAGCAGCAGCAGCAGCAGCAGCAGCAGCAGCAGCAGCTACCTGCCTATACAGTGGGGGGCTCATATGTGGGGTTTACGTGGTGCTCTAATCATTGCAACAGCAGCAGCACACTATCTCTTGTTGCTGCTAACCTTTTATTGTACCCTTTTCCTCATTCCTTATTATGGGGGCCCCTCATAGGGCCCCTCATAGAGCCCCTCATAGGTTGCTGCTTCTGCTGCTGCAGTGGTCAGCTGCTGCTGCTGCTTGTCAAGTAGCAGTAGCTGCTGCTGCTGTATAGGAATAATATGTGTCTGTGGTAACATGTTGCATGCATGCATGTCTTATGATGTTTATTTATGTATCTCTTCTTCTTCTTCTTCTTCTTCTTCTTCTGCTGCTGCTGCTGCTTCTTATATTTATGTATATATATGTATATACACAGCTAGCTAGCTAGCTAGCTAGCTAGTTAGTTAATTAATTAATTAGTTAGTTAGTTGCTTTCCTTACTGCATACATTACATATATTAATGTTGCTGTTGCTGCTGTTGCTGCTGTTGCTGCTGTTGTTGCTGCTGTTCAGGAATGGCGCGTTGTATACTGGATATACCCGCAGGAGCGCGTCAAGAATAACAGGAAGCAAGTCTCCTTCTCAAGTTTGGTAAGTTATAACTAGTAGTTGCTGCTGTTTATTCTGTTGCTGCTGTTGCTTCTGTTGCTGCTGCTGCTGCTGTTGTTGTTGCACCCATCCTTCCTTATATCCCTGCCTCTCCCTCTCTTAAATAAATAAACCCAACCAACATCTCCCTTCCTTCCCTCCCTCTACCACAAATAAATATAAATAAATAAATAAAATAAATAAATAAATATATAAATATATATATATGTATATATGTATATATGTATACAGAAATATGGTGATAGTACAGCCCAATTAAAGGCCTGGGCAGTAGTACGTTTTATAAATCATTTTGGTATAGTACCTGAAGATATTAAGAATCCACCTCTTCAACTTCCACCTTGTTGTTCAAATTGTTATCCACATTGTCTTAAAGAACATGTTATATATTGTAATAATTGTATTGATCCACCTAATGATAGACATCTTATTGCTGCTGCTGCTGCTGCTGCTGCTGCTGCTGCTGCTAATAATAATAATAATAATCATTGTAATACAGCAGCAGGGACAAATAATATACAACAACAACAACAACAAGGTAACAACAATACTGTATTAGGTACTGGAAATTGTACCAATAACGACAGCTGTAATAATAATACATTACTTGCTGCTGCTGCTGCTGCTGCTGCTGCTGCTGCTGCGGCTTCTTCGGGAAATAATAATCATAATAATAATAGCAACAGTAGTAATAATAATACTATGGTTCCTAATTCAGCAGTGGGACTTGTTGTTGATGGCAACAACACCAACAACAGCATCAACAGCAACAACAGCAGCAACGACAACAGCAACAACAACAACAACAGCAGCAGCAACAACAGTATTAGTAATACTAATACAAACAGTTGCAGCAGCAGTAATAGTTGCAGCAGCAACTGCAGCAACAATAACTGCAGTGGAAGACAACGTGTAGCAGCAGCAGGAACAGCAACAGCAACAGCAACAGCAACAACAACAGCAGCAGCAGCAGCGTCTCCTGTAGATACACCTACAGATACGCTGCTGCAACATACATACATTAGGCCTTGTCCTTCTCCTGCTGCTGCCTCTTGGCTAAGGGAACCTTGTTCTGCTGCTGCTGCTGCTGCAGGCAGATTGTCCCAGCAGCAGCAACCAAGACCCTCACCAGGAGACACACCTCTCCTATCCGAAGCATCACCAGATGTTGGTCTTCTTACTGTTGGCAGCAGCAGTAGCAGCAACAGCAGCAGCAGCAGATTCGATCCTGTACTAGCAGCAGATGCAGATGGTGTACAGTCCTCTGTTAATAACTGCATGCAGGCATTAAAGTTTCAGCCTCTTCCTCCTGCTGCTGTTGCTGCCTCTCCTCTACCATCGGAGAGTTTGTTTGCTGCTGCTGCAGCTGCTGCTGCAGCAGAAGGCAAAGCTGCAGCAGCAGCTGCGGCTGCGGCTGCATACGGAGGAGTTCTAGCGGGAGTGGGGTCAGCTCATCCACACGGCGCAGCACCAACTACAGCAGCAGCTACGGCAGCAGCTGCTGCAGCAGCAGCACCGGCAACAGGAACTACAGAGGGAAGAGCGGGGCCACCTGTTAAGAGACACAGAGGAGAGGAAAGCTTGCTTCATGCAGAGCTGCAGCTGCAGCAGCAGCTGGCATTAGCAAGGAAGAGGCAGCAGCAGGAAGCAATGGGGGAAACAGCTATGAATGGTACAAATGAATGGGTTGCTGCCAGCAACGGCAGCAACAACAGTAGCAGCAACAACAGTAGCAGCAACAGCAGTAGCAGCAACAGTAGTAGCAGCAGCAGCAGCAACATCCCAGGGCTTCTTGTTGGTGGTACTCTGCTGCCGCAGCAAGCAGCAAGAGGCAGCAGCGGGGTGCAGCAGCCCCCGCTGCACCTACCATCCTTCCCTAATGAATTGAAGGTGGGGGTGCTGCAGCACAGCAGGCTGTCTCTTGAGCAGCAGCAGCTGCTGCTGCAACAACAGCAGCAGCAATGGGGATATCAGGCCGCGCATGCACGACAGCAGCAAAGTCTGCTGCATGGCGTGCGTCTTTCTAGGCAGCAACTACTGGCAGAAGGAGGGTGTGCAGGTGACCCTCATCATCAGCAGCAGCAGCAACAGCAGCAGCAGCAGCAGCTATCTTGTGAGGAGGAGAGCGAAGGGGCACTACCTCATGTTTATACTGCCTATGCAGAGCAGCTGCTGCATGAGATCTTATCTGAATCCCCGGATGCCTCCAGTGCTGCCAACTCACCGCCGCAGCAGCAGCAGCAGCAACAGCAGCAGCAACAACAACAACAACAGCAGCAACAGCAACAACAACAGACTGTTAAGGGGGAGGCAGAACAACAGACACAGGCAACTGCTAGCGAGAACGGGGGAAACTCATCAACAGCAACATCTCCTCAAGTTGCAGCAACAGCAGCAGCAGCAGCAGGAGCAAACAGCGACGCCGAAACGGAAGGCAAGAGCAGCAGCAGCAGCAGCAGCAGCAGCAGCAGCAGCAGCAAACGTCGTGGTGGTGTGCATACACGTGCATTAACTCGTGCATTAACAAGTTCTCCTGTGGAGGGTTGTATGTCTGGAGGTGAAGGCAGCAGCAACAGCAGCAGCAGCAGCAACAGCAGCAACAGCAGCAGCCAGTTGCTGCAGCAGCAACTCCTACGATGGAGCCTAGCAGCAACAGCAGCAGGGGGAGCAGAAGCACTATGGTGCTGCTCTAATAGAGATCCCTTCCAGCTGCGGCAGGGGACAGCCTATGGGGGTACAAGAGATGCAGCAGCAGCAGCAAAGAGGCGTAATATGCTTACTAGACAGATGCGTCGTCTTACATCTGCAGCAGCAGCAGCAACAGGACCCGCGGATACTCTTGTGTCACTAGGGCGGACTTCAGCTACATCCACAGCTGCAGCAGCAAGTGCTGCAGCAGCAGCAGCAGCTCGAGGTGAACGTGATGCGTATATGCACACACATGGAGGAAGCAGCAGTTGCAGCAACAGCAGCTGCAGCAACAGCTGCAGCGGCAGCAGCGGCGGTGCTGCTCTTATTGGAGCTCGCTCCTTAGGCCGCAACAGGAAGCCGCCTGCTCGGCTGCTGTGGCTAGCTAAGAAGCAGCGGTGGAGACAGCTAAGAGAAGCAGCAGCAAGAGTGCGTCTTGCTGCAGCAGACTTTGCTGCTGCTGCTCCTTTTGGTGTTGACTCCGCCTCTCAGGCAGCAGCAGCAACAGCTGCTGCTGCTGCTGCTGCTGAGGGATGCTGCAGCGCAACTGCACCAGGTGCATGCGGAGGCATCATGTCTATAGGCAGCAATGACCTCGAGGCAGAAGCAGCAGCATACAGCAGCGACGACTGCAGCAACTGGATAAGCTGGACAAGGCACAGACACCGCAGCTCAGCAGCAGCAAAGGCAGCTGCAGCAGCAGCAGCTGCTGCTGCTGCTGCAGCTGCAGCTGCTCCTCTTGGAGGAGGTGCTGCTCTTGAGGCACTGCACCTGCAATTGCAACAGCAACATCGGCAGCAACATCAACACCGCGCGCAGCTGTTGCAGCAGCAGCACCAAAAGCTCCTGCTGCAACAACAGCAGCAGCAACAGCAACAGCAACAACAACGTGCACCGGCGCCAGGAGGTGCAGCGGATGCCCCGGCACCCTGTCCTGCTGCTGCTGCTGCAGTAGCAGCAACAGCGAAAGGCTGTGCAGTAGCCGACGCTCCACCGACTCCAGCAGCAACAACCCCACCGCCAGCTGCTGCTGCTGCTGCTGCAGCAACAGCAGCAACAACGCCTGCAGCAGCAGCACTAGCAACATTGCCACCACATCATGATGCACAGAGATTGAGGAGGCAGCTGCAGCATCTGCAACAAAAGGAGCTGCAGCGCTTCTTGGCTTTGTCGCAGCAGCAGCCCCTGCAGAAGCAGCAACAACTTGCGGCAGCAGCTGTTGCTGCTGCTGCTGCCTCAGCTGCGGCGGCGACTCCTGGTGCTACTGCACCACAACAGCAGCAACCACAGCAGCAGCCAGCAGCTACGGCTGCTGCTGCTGCTGCTGCTGCTGCTGCTTGGCCGCATGCAAATGCATTAAAACCCCCTCAGGGCAGCTACCCGTCAGGGTTTCTGCTGCAGCAGCTGCTGCAGTTCGAGTCGCAGCAGCGGCGGCAGCAGGAAGCAGGAGATAGCAGCGCTGGTTTACCCGCACAGCAGCAGCAGCAACAACAGCAGCAACAGCTGCTGCAACGACACAGGCAGCAGTTGTTGCAGCAAAAGCTGCTTCTGCAGCAAGCCAGCTGCAGCCCGCAGCAGCTCCTCATGCTGTCAGGCCGCGCCCATTTGTTTGCGCAGGTGAAGGCAGCAGTTAATGCAGCAGCAGCAAAGGCTGCTGCGGCGTCTCTGCAGCAGAGTCAGCAGCAGCAACAACAGCACAGCTTCCTGCAGCAGCATCTTCAAGGAATCCAGGGTCGTCTGCAGCAAACGGCCATAGCTGCTGCTCTGCAGTCTGCAGCAACGAGAGCAGCAACAGGTGCTGCTGCAACGCAGCAACCAGCAGCAGATCATCCGCAGGAAGAAGTGGAGGAAGGTGCAGCAACTGCAACAGCAGAGACCTCTGCATTTGCAGCAAACGAGGCGCATGCAGAAGACCGCATGCATGAACAGCGAGAGTCGCAGCAGCAGCAGCAGCAGCAGCCACAGCAGCAGCAGCAGGAGTCTGGTATTGTATTGCCGATAACCGTGAAGCCACCAGCAGCGGAAGGTTGGGCTGAGCAAAGTATAAGGACTCCTGCGGCAGCAGCAGCCGCTGCTGCAGCAGCTGCTGCTGCTGCAGCTGCTGCTGCTGGCATGAAGCAAGCAGAAGAGGGAGATGCAGCAGCACAGGGTGAGCAGCGCCGCTGCATATCAACAGCAACAACTTCTAGTGCAGCAGATAATACAGAAGAAGGCAGAGGCAGCGATCTGCTGCTGCTGCGGCAGCAACCAGAGCATCTGCTGCTGAATAAACCCTCTTCTAGTGAACAAGAGATGCAGGAGAAACAGTTGCATGCGCAAGAGGAGCAAGAGCAGCAGCAGCAGCAGCACGAACCGCAGCTGCAGCAGGAAGAACCCCAGCTGCAGCAGCATGAACCACAACTGCAGCAGCACGAACCCCAACTGCAGCAGCAGCACGAACCCCAGCAACAGCTGCACGAACAGCAGCAGCTGCTGCTCGAACAGCAGCAGCAGGCCCCACAGGGGCAGCAGGAGGAACCCCAACAGGAGGGACCCCCAACGCAGCAGCAGGGAGAACCCCAACTGCAGCAGGAAGACCAGCAGCAGGAGGAGGAGGAGCAGCAGCAGGAACCGCAACGTGAGGAACAGCAGCAGCAGGGACAGCAGGAGGAGGGACAGCAGCAGGAGGAACAGCAACAGCAGGATCAGCAGCATCAGGGACAACCGCAAGAGGGACAACAGGAACAGCAGCAGCAAGAACAGCAACAGCAGCAGCAACAGCAGGAGCAGCAGCAGCAGGGTGTGCTGCCAGGTGCTGCAGCAATAGCAAACAGTTGTTATAACGGCTGCACTTTATCTGGCCTTGTTAAGGGAGGAACATCTGATGATTTGCTGCTGCGGTCTGCTGCTGCTCTTGGTGCACCACCAGAGGGATATTGCTGCAGAGGAGAGCAGCAGATGCCGCATGCAGCAACCTCAGCTTGATTGAGGGTGCCGCAGCAGCAGCAGCAGCAGCAGCTGTTTTTGTTGCTGCTGCTGCGCAGCAGCACTGCAGCAGGAGTTGTCAATAGCAGCGAAACATGCTGCTTGTGCTGCTGCTGCTGCATTTTGGCAGCATTGCGGCGCTTGGAGGGATCGGATGTAGCAGCACCGCACAACAGCAGCAGCAGCAGCATAATCAGCTGCTGCTGCTGCTGCTGCTGCTGCTGTTGTTACTTGTCAACAGCAGCTTGCATGACGCGATTATGCATGCATGTGTGGGTCTTTAGGGCATTGTAAAGAAGGAACAGCAGCAGCAGCAGCAGCAGAAGGATATTCTTGGGTATGGAGCAGCAAAGGACTGCCCCTGTGCCCCGCAGGCAGCACATGCGCCTGCTGCTGTGGTACCGTTGCAACAAAGCCTGCTGCTGCTGCAGCTGCTGCTGCTGCTATTATTATTAATGGTGCAGCAGCGCGGCAGCAGCAAAGCCCGCTGCAGCAAATTGCATTTTTTAGGCAAAGTGGTATTTGTATTTATGTGCATGCAGGAGGGAAAGAGGAGGAAAATGCATGTATATTCTTATCCGTTTATATTATATATTATTATATTATTACATATAATAGTATATAATATATATAATTATAATATATATATATATATATTATACAGCATAAATATATTATTTATTATATATATATTATAATGTTTATATTATGTCTGTACAGCATATGAAGAAAAACATCCCCGGTAGCCGTCGGATGCGTGTACACCGCAGCATATCCGCATGGCAGCATTTGGGGCTGTTATTGCATGCATGCATGTATGTATGTACACATGCATGTATGCATGCATGCACAGGGATGCCTGTGTGTGGAAGCACACGGCATATATGCATGTATGCGTGCACGCGCATGCTCGCATGCGTGGGGCTGTTTGTACGTGTTTGCATGCATGCAACATGCATGCATGCATGTGTGCATGCATGCATTCATGCATGCATGCATTTGATTTTTGTCAGTTTATAATTTCAAGGGCTGTGCCATTTATGATTATACATCGGAGGGGAGAGCAAAGCGTCCTTAGGCCTCGTCCCTCCTCTTGGCTGCTTGCTGTTTGCTGCTGCTGTTCCTTGCATGCAGGGTTTATACTTTGTCTATATATATATTATATGCAAAGGGCGCTTTCTTTAGGCTGCCCTTTGCTGCACAGCAGCAGCTGCCGTGAGGTTTGCATGTGTAGGGGGGAGATGTTTTTAAGGTGCAATATATTCATGAATTTTAATGAGGTGTATTGACAGCTCATATGCATATATATAAACATAACATATACAGCAAAACCTTTATTATATTATTCTTCTTCCCTTCATCAGAGGAACAAACTTTATTGCTGCTGCTGCTGTAGTTAACTGTTCTTGTTGCCTGTTCCATCGTACAGTAGCTAGGAGCAAGGAATAGTCTTCTTTTTCTGTTTTGTTCATCCTTAGTTAAGATGGAACAACATATATAGTTTATTTCTCTCGTTTCTTCTTAGGTGTACAGACAGCGAGCAGTTCCTCTCTATATACTAGGTAGTTACTGTTGAGGAGGCAGAGTTGATGCTCCTCCTTGAGTTGTTGTCATATCCTCTACTAGACGAGGTTTCGAGTAGATAAAGGGAACTTTCTTCTTCTTAAGAATGTTTTTTCCTTACTTGTTACGTTGTTACGGTTAAGGATTAAGACCACCTGGGTTAAGACCGTCTCTTCTACCCCTTCTTTTATGCATTTTTCTTCAATTCATTACAGGTGTGGGTTGAGGGTTTAGAGCCTTTAACTCTGAATTGGCAGCAGTACACTTAGTTCAACTAGGAGTTGGGTGTAGACCTGATTCCTTACTATTTGAAGTTTTAGGGTTTAGGCCCTAAACCCTGAGCAGACCGGTACACCCCGGTCACCTAACCGGTGGACCACCATATGGACCTACAGGCTGCGTAAAGGGTAGAACTGAATCATAAGCGTGAACTCAGCCGGCAACTTTACTGAGCGTCACAGTTGTTTCTTGATGAATGCACAACCTTCTTTTTCAAGTTCTTCTTTTTTTCAACTTCAACCGTTACAAAGCTGTTCATTAACAAGGCTAAGAAGACAACAACTGTGCACTGTGCCGTTTGAGTGCAGCCGACTTGTCCTCTCGTCTACTTCATTATTCTAGTTGAATCTGTGTTGTCTGGATGCAATGAAATGATACTCATCCGCTCACGGAATAGGCCATGGAGTATTAGAAATTGTTAGGGATGGGAGCGGGGAGTCCTCCTCATCACACCCCTAGGGGGTTTATGGCGTCAGATGGAGCTGTCTCTAGAAGAGCTATTAATGTTATTATTTTTTTCACTAGTATGTGGGATAATTGAACGACAGGGAAGACCTGTTGTTGCTCGCCTTCTGCTGCTCGGGAGCTAGCAGCGAGATCATTCTTGGCTAACTCTCGCGTGTGGGCGCTCTCTGAATTGGGGTTTTCTGCGAAATTACTTAAGATTCGCTTAAATTTACTTTTGTCCCAGTAAGGTTTCAATGAAAGTTTTTTAGGAAGGGAATCAGTAGGTGTGAGCACTCCCCCCGTTGTGCCTGTAGCAGGGGTGAGACGGGAGTATAGTTCAGAGAATATTGCGCCTCAAATATGTTTTGCTACGGTGTAGTAACTTTGTTATTTGTGCCATTAATTTGAATTTGCGATTTATCACCATACTGAAAAAGCGACGGTGCAGGAGAGTTGAACCGATTTAGCTTGGCTGGAACTACGTTACAGTTACGAGCAGCCGACGCGGCTGTGTGCAGTGCATCGCTAGTGTTGCCTGAAAAGTGTGTTTAAGCCGTCTCACCAAGAGCATATATGTGTCAATTTTATAACTAAGGGATATTTAAATGCTAACAGTTTAAACTTTGGCGTTTTGTTGAAGAAAGAGTCCATCAGAAAGTGCTCTCACCCACACCGCCTTACAAGTGACCCTCTCCCTACTTACGCAACTCTTCAAAATGGATTCTTCTCTTTCTCTCCCTTCTTCCCATTCTGAAGATCAAATGACAAACTATGTTCACGCAGGCGTTTCCCCAGATCCGCTCACAGGGGCCATTTCCAAGCCAATATACCAATCTACAACCTATGTGCAAGAGAGCGTTGAGCAGTACCTGCAAAAGGGATATTCCTACTCTCGACAGGGAAACCCGACAGTTCGAGCCCTCGAACAGAGAATGAAAACTGTTGAAAGAGGGGCGGATGCCGCTTGTTTCAGCTCCGGCATGGCTGCCACTATAACGGTAAGCAGTTTGCTTGTGCACTTGCTGGCCCTTTCTACCACATGCCGAAGAAGGGAACTGTAATTCTTCCGACTTTTACAGGATACAAAACACATCCATATATCAAACCATCTCCGTGCCGAAGACTGGCAGCGCTGAACAAGGACATGATGTGCATGCTCCTCTTGAATATGATGAATACTCTTCTACTCTTTAACACTGTATCCGATTAGTAGAGGCCGTTCATAAAATTCCATCGCTACAACCAATCACAATGTTGGCCCCTGTGTGCTATTGCTGTTTCAGGTGCTAACGGCGTACCTCAGTGCAGGCGACCACTGCATAATGCCTATTTGTTTGTACGGTGGCACTTTCCGAGCTGCAAATGAATACGTAAGCCGGTTTGGGGTGGAATTCGACTTTGTTGATTTCAGAGACCCAAGCCAAGTGGAGAAGGCATTTAAAGACAACACGAAGATGGTCCTTGCCGAGACTCCTGCTAACCCCACACTGCACCTGACGGACTTGGAAGCGATTGACATGATAATCGCTAAGAAGGAACTTGAGCGGCTCAGAAACAAACAGAAGACTGAAAACGCTACACCGTCAACAGATGCTGCTCCTGTTTCGGATGATGAACTGCTCAAGACCATTTCGGGGGGAAACAGAGAAAAAGAACGATCGATTTTGTTTGTCGTAGACTCAACTTTCGCCACCCCTCATGTGTTGCATCCTTTTGAATACGGAGCAGACATTATTTTGCACTCCACCACCAAGTACTTCGATGGGCACAACATCACAACTGGAGGCGCTGCTATCAGTCGCTTTCTCAAGTACCATGACAAAATCGCCTACACAAGGAACATCTGCGGCAGCATCATGGACCCACAAACTGCTTTCTACACATTGAACTCCAGTATGACGCTTCCTCTACGTGTACAACGACAAAGCGACACTGCCAAAATAATTGCCCAGTTTCTTGAAAAACATCCAAAAGTTGAGCGCGTACTCTACCCAGGTCTTGACAGCCATCCTCAGAGGGAGCTTGCAAAGAAATATCACCGAAATGATGTCAACGGTGCAGTAGTTGGCTTTGACGTCAAGGGAGGCATCGAAGCCGGTGAGCAATATGCGCTATGGTTTTCTCCATTATACAGATGTGTGTGCAACATATACATTCAGTACAAGTTTTGTGGTGGCGTAAGCATTGGACGTGTAGAAACTTCGACAGCTCCTAGGCAGGCTACGAAGGCAGGCCATTGCATCGGTAATTTTTGTTTATGTACGTTCTATTTTTATCTTGGTGGGACACAGCGGAGAACCCAGACTAAGCAGCAAAGTAGTCTAGTTTGGGCGAAGTTGTTCTGAAGGGGAATTCACAGACATGTGTTTCTGTGTGCCTTCTGTTGTGATGCATGCTCAACAGGCAAGAGACTGATGAACACCATTGGCAAGCCATTTTCTCTCTGCGAGAATCTAGGGTCGGCGCAGTCGCTTATCACGTGCCCCGCTGTCTTTACTCATGCCCAGCTCACAGAGAAGCAGCGTCTGGCCATTGGCGTCACGGACGGTTATATTCGTCTTTCTGTTGGCCTTGAGAGCCCTCAGGACCTTCTTGAGGCCCTTGACAAAGCTCTGACGGACCTGTTGTAGGGGCGCTACCAATGATTCAGTCCGGAACAGAAAGCCTCTGTTCTGGATTGGCGCCAGCCGTTTTTCTTGGCTCCTGGCGATTGTGTTACTTTTATTCGGCAGAAGCCCGTACTTACAGCTTTTTAGAATAATCACCTAACTGTGTCATAAAATCCGTCTTCTCATAGCTGATACAGAATTGCTGCTCCCGTCCCCAAGTAGCAAGCTTGCACACACAAAACCGACCAGCGAGGTGTTTTTAGCTCCGAAGGACCTTGTCTGCTACAGGTTCATAGGACCTTGTCTGCTACAAGTTAATTTCAATGGGCTTGCAGACGGAAGGAAGGCAGCAAACAGCTCATGGCCCTGACAACCAACACAATCTGGGTCTTGCAGGCAGCCTCCATAGTTTCGCAAGCTCTGGGCTAGCGGGCGTTGCTGTTTATATTGTATGTACATATTTATATTGTACAAACACGTATAGCTGCAGAGATACACATATGTACTTATTTAAAGGCCCCCCACAACCCATTGCTGTTGTCGCTCTTGAATAATTTCATGTGGAGCGCTCTGCCAACGTCTCTGGCTCTAACGCTGTACTCCATCTGGGGCGCTCACTACCGCTGTAGCTTGTCTGGAGCACTCACACTCATAGGACTTCAATTGCATTTCTACTGGATCACAGGAGGGTAACTAATACCCCGTTCCGTCGTCTGGTCGAAAGAGCATGGGGGAACACGGGCCGAAAACGGCATAATATACCGCACTGCACCATCTTAAGGGGCCATTGACCTTTCCCACCACACAAACCACACGACAGTTTCTCACGCAGCTTTAATGGAGAGCCTCGGCTTTTCTGCTTTTCACAGGGTCTTCTCGTGGCGGTGATGAAAAGAGCAACTGTCATTTGTAGGAACGCGGTGACGCTGAAGTAGAGCCTTAGGTGAACTGTCGCCGGAATACTTCGGAATAAGGGAAGTGAAAAAAGAACAGGAACACTGTGGGAGCTTTTCTAACATTTCGGTAGGAGAAACAGCCTCGTGTATGTTACCCCACGGGCACGAGAAGGCTCAGCGATGCGGGCGCGTCTTGCAACACTGTAGGTTGCCCTTTCGCAATCCTTTTTCTCCCGATATGCAACAAGCTTATTTCAAACTTCCACTTTACAACTGTTTTCTTCTTCCTTTCTGTTGGAGAGTTCCGTTTGCTTGCAGGACAAGACTGAGCACCTCGCCACCGCCGCTGCTGGGTCACTTGTGGGGCAGGCAGGCAAAGGGAGAATGCAATTTTACGTGACCTTCCGTGATATATACCTCAGAATTACTATTTTACATTACAAACAATGTTTTGGATTGTACGGAAACCTCCATGCAAAGCCGTACGACTGTGTTGTTAAGCCAGGGCCCCGTGCCCAGCGATCGGCGGCGTGCAATCTGGACGCACCCAGGGAATGCGGGGCTGTTGTTTGTACTTTATCAAGATGGCTTACTGGAGAAAACAGAAGCCTGAGGGGAAGGCAACTGCTGCCTGGCGTTTCACGGGGTCTTCTGTTCCACATGGCTTGCAGCTTGTTTGCAGTCGAGCTGAGGTGTGGACGGGCAAGAGGGAGGAAGCCGTCTTTTGTGGCAAAGGGCTTGAAATACGATTGCGGCGATAGGGCACACAGTTTCAGGCGGTTGGATACACTTTCGCTTTCATGGTTCAACCCCAGAAAACTGTACCTCTGTGGCTACTGGCCCACTTAGCTGTGACTGAAGGCCTGCGCAGCGCGCATTCTCACTGAAGTTCTGCCGCAGCCTTCTCGACCTGCACACTCCAACATATGGAATCGGTGAAATAGCTTCCTTAGGTCGGGCCTGCAACTCCAACCTTCCCAGGAGGATGCATCTGCCTCTTTTCTATATCTGAGCCCTCGCCGCCTTTTTGACTGTTCTCAAAACTGAAATCCAAACATATAAGCACTTACTGAGGTGGATAAACGCGTCTCGCCCCAGTTAGTGTATGAGCCAGCTAAACACACTTTTTGCCCGAAAACGCGAACGGGAGAATTCCAGTGTTTAATATTCGAACTCGATGCTTTGTGTATGTCGCGCCCATAGAAAGTGAAGGCATTAGTTTAGGGAGTTTCTCAGCCTTGGCTGCCACTTACGCTGCATTCTATAGGCTTTTATTCTTGCCTTGCGGCGACACATGGGGATTCAAGGCTGTGTAACCCATCACAGAAGCATTCCCTCTAGTGCCAACTAGCTAGCTTATGGGAGTCGTACATCATGGCGGTCGCGCCTCATACTGAAAAGATATCTCTAGCGGAGGCGAAGGACCAGCGGAAGCAAGCTGAACTTGATGCGCAGCTTCTGGCAAATCGCATTGCACTCCTTCGGGTATCGTCACGCCAGAGCAAGTGCAGATTTGCACCTTAGCCACAAGAGAGCACTGTACTACAAGCGACAGTCATTCTGTGAACTCGCAAAATGGTGGAGACCTGTCGCCGCCTGTACATGTAGTTCTGCGTGACATTCCATCTACAGCCTCCCGACGCATAATTTACATTTTCCGCATTGGAACAGTGTATCTGGCCACGTCTTTTCTTCCTCAGCAAGAAGATGCAAAGGCCAGGAAGAAGGTTGAGCAGCTAATGCAAAAGACCCGAACGCTCGACGCGATTCGTGAGCGAGAGCGAAAACGGCAGGAGTTCAGGCTGCAAGTATGTATTTGTTCACCAGTGCCGTGTGCCCTGCGGCATCTCTGTTGCCCTCAACAGCGATAATGCCCCTGAGCTGTTCTGCCTGCGTCCGTTCCGCATATTTCGGCTCTTTTCTCGTCAGCAACAAGCCGAACGAGAGCGGCAGGTTTTGGAAATCCAACAAGCGAATGCGGCACAACGGGAACGTGACAAGAGGGCTAGAGACGAAGCTAGGAGACGGCAAACAGAAGCCAAGAGGTACGCATGAAGGCAAGTTCCAGAGATGCTGTGCAAGGTACCAGCTTGTGCACCACCAGAATTGCAAGTCCCATCGGGCTGGATATGCCGTTGCCTGACCAGGTGATGTGCAGTTGTGTGAGCTGAGCTACCAGCTGCTCCTGATGAATTTGCATACAATGGAGTGCATGCATAATCCAGCACAGATGTACGGCTGTTGGATGCCATGCTGTACACCATAGAGAATCATTCATGCTGCGGGCAGGAGAGACGTGCTGCGAGCGAAACAAGAACATGCTCTGGCTGCCGAGCAGAGACGCCATTATGATGAGGAACAACAAGAATATAACATTCAGCGTTCGCAGCAAGTCCGCAGAGAACAACAGCAATCGCGTGAGAGGAGACGGCTTGAACAGGTGCAGTCAAACACAACGGCTCCTTTCCCTTTCCAAGACTGGCAACAAGAACGTGCCTCTTTGCCACAGAGGGTAGAAGTGTTAGCGCTCTCACCAGCTCAGCAAAGGCTTTTCGAACCCCACCTGCTGATACCACTGATTGTTCGACTTCAGCAACGTCGCCTTGAGGAAACCCACTCCAATTACGATGCAAGAGTGGCAGAGGAAGAAAGGAAGGTGAAGTCTCAGTATGCCCTGACGTGCTCTTATATAACGTTTAAACGGGAGCTGGTCCGCTAGTTGCACGTCTTTTCAATTCAACATCTTGAGGTCCCATGGAATGGTGGTCTCGCAGTTTGCTTTGTGTGAAAATTGCAGAGGGAAGCGTTTGCGGCGAAGGTAGCTGAGCTTGAGCGTGAAGAAAGGGAACTGATCAACCGGCTCCAGCAAACACACGTAGGCTGACGGAATTTGAATGCAGTTCTAGTGGTAAAATGCACTCGATGAGATACATTGTCCATCTGAGTAGTAATGGCACACCGAGTAGAACCTAAGCAGACGCCAAAAGGGATCATGCTGGCCGTGGTTCTCTACAATCATTGCAATGAGTTGCTGTGAGGCGGGATGCAATTTCTGTTTAGGCACAGCAACAAAGTGTGTGCCAGGAATTAGATGCCGCCCTTAGCGCCACTCCGCGGGCCAATTCCACCCGTGATAAGGTTTGTCCGAGATGAAACAATAACACACCAGCAACAAGTGCCCAAGGCTGCACAGGTGGCAGAGCTCTACCTAGATCCACGAGCATGCCACCAAAGACAGGTGCCAAGGGCTAAGTACCGGAATGGCCGCTTGCTCACACGTCATGCACGTAACACACGGGTAGTGATTTCCTTGTAACAGAAGTCCCAGAGGTGTAAACAACACCAACGTTGCGCGAAGCCTGTTTGGTGCAGTGGGGTAACAGCTTTGGCTCGGAGGGCCCTCAGCGACGAAGTCCGCCGTCCGCCTCGAAGCGGTCTCAAGCAAAGATTATGAGGGAACTGGGGTCCAGTGGCATTAAAGGATATGGATCGAGAATTGGCGAAGAGCTGGCAGAGCAGCAATGACACCCAGTCAACTATTGCGATATACCCCCGTAAACGAACAGAGTGCCCGTTCCTAAATTGCGGTCATAAAGCGTTCCTACGGCAACATATCGCCATACCATAAGTGGAGGCTGTCGAGACAGCCGAGAAGCGAATTGGTCCATCTAATTGTTCTGCCGCGTGTCTGGTGCTTGTGTTAGTGTCGCGATTCTACTTTTATGGGTGCGTACCGTCAGTGGCTTTGAGCTCTCAAAGGCTACCTGCACTGCAGTGTCGTGGGATGGGTGCAACCCATTGTCCGGGACGCAGCAATGTGCAAACCCTATCGCAGAGAACTTTTCATCGCATGCAAGTGACCTTTCAGGGTGGCAAACACCTGCGTTGAGAGCTTTAAGTTCACTGCACAATGGTGAAGGTTTCCAACCTGCATAAAACTAACTAGGGCCACCCAATGGCTGAGCAGTAACCCGCTGCATACTGCAGCAAAAAACCGGAAGCGGCAACGCGAGCTCCGTTTAACGCTGATGCCTCCCAGCGCAATTATCGGAAAACGACAGGGGCGGTGATGACGTTTCAGAAACGTCATGCGAGACTATATATCGGCCGAGCCCTCTCTGCAGTTGCCTTTTTGTGACTGGCATGGCGTGAGTATCCTCATCTAAACGAACAGTGCCTATGCACAGGCTGCCCCTACTTAAGCTCTTTGGCAAATTCATCTAGGGTTAAACATCGAATGCCTCGAGACTTAAGGTAATCCATAGTTTCCTGTTCTCTGTCTCGGAGAATGGCAGCAGTCAAGTCCGTCAGAACAACCACGTCAGCAAACCCCGCTGCACGCAACCCAATAGCGCTTTCCGCAACACAAAAGTCCAAACAAAACCCACAGACGGCGACGGTGTCCACTCCTGCTGACCGTAGCAGCTGTACTAACCCCGTCGGCATGTTGGGGGTTCCGCAAGCAGAGAAACATTCAGTCTGCAGCACATTCGCAAATAGATATGACGGATACGTACAAAATACTCATCCAGTACTACTAAGCGTCAATTCGTGGGTCAACAGAAGACAAGATGCATTTCGCCAGTACACGCTTCCATCTTGGCAATTAGCCCCATGTGCTAAGAATCGAGGAAATACCCACAAAATACTTCAGTTGTGCAAAAGCACTGGCCGCGGATTCTTACAGAAGACCACTTACAAGGGAGTTGTCGCCCTTAAATACCGCAAAGTCCCCCAGCTGCACCTTTATCACCCGATGTAGCTTCGAACCCGGCGTGTTTTGCACACAATGCGGAGGCCACAGACGAACAACTGAAGGCGTACCACCTTCTGGATGCGGCGAAGGAGGGACTACAACTGTCCAGTCTTTGTCTTCACCCAAAGAGTTCCGGGCTTCTTCTACAGCTGCCCTGGCCGCCTGCTGCGTGTCAGCGGAAAGGCTGACGTCTCCACAGACACAGATATCATGCACACATTTTGCCGAGTGGGAAGCCAAAAATGAAACGTGGTCAGGCGGGTGCCAGTCGAGCGAGAAGACTACCATGTCGCACCAGCTCTCTGAGTCGCATTTTTCCTCGCCTTCCTCTCTGGCATCAGAGGGAGATGAAATACTCCGTATCAACTCATCGCTTGTGATCTCTTTACAGCAGCTGATATTCTTTGCACCTACAGAGTCCCATGCTCCCGCGTTGGGGTCACTTGATGCCTGAAGTGGTCGAAGGCTGCGCCGCTTCAAACGATTGAGCGCTTCCCCGATCCTCTGCACAACAGGCACGCCGCCTGGGGCTGGCAACGCACCTTCACAAAAATCATGTTGGGCATCTGTCACCAACAGACAACAACGGCCCCTGGCAGCAGTTGCATCCGGGAAGCCGTTCATAATCGTGCTGCGCGTGATGTCCATAAACGAAATACAAAATTCAGGTGGATATAGGGCGAGGGAGGAGACTCGGCCCACAATTACAGCCGTTATCCCTTCGAGTCGTTAAGCTCGGAGCATACGAATCCAGCATGAACATTAGTTCTGAAGTGGGTGTTGCGATTGAGGATGGGAGGCATATGGGAAGCTGACTAAAAGAAGATTCTATTGTCCGTCGCAGGATGGAAGCACATTTTGAAGAAGGAACGACGCGTCAATCTACAGACACTCAGTCAAGGAATTCGCAAAAGTAAGCCCGCATGCACTACGCCGTACTGCGCATGCGTCGGCCCACGCAGGAGCGGCGTTTCAAGCAAGAATCAACTGCCGTTCCTTCAGGGGCCCAAACTAGAAAATACTCCAATTAATGAGGCCATCTTGTAGAAATGTAAAAAGTTTTATTCGGGAAAGGTAGAAGTCATCCAGATAGTTAGAAGTTAGAAGTGTACTTTCGCAACACTCTCTTCACAGCCTTCGTCAGCCGTAATTGTAGTGCACATGCACTACAACGTGGCTCTGATGTGACCTCTAGTAGCTTATTGATTGTAAAGAGAATAAATATTAAATAATTTTAGGATTAGGACAGTAATAACTAGGAAAAGGAATTAATACTGCTAAGTGTTCTAAGAGTTGGGTAACGTAGACAGTCATAGTTTAGTAGCGTTTACCCGGGCAGTAACCCATATCAGCGGTATAGCGCACTGCTTAGTCAGTACTTGGGCACCAGATAGGACTTTTAGAGGTCTAAGTGGAAGGGGAATAGTATTATTATTTTATGGAAGAATTGTGCCCGTGAATAGGACATATAGGTGGATTGCAAGTTGTAGGTCATTTACCTGACCGTGTCGTCGTTGTTATCTCCCCGCCATCCTATAGGTCGGGCACTGATCCCCAGTGAAGACCGGGGTCAGCTCCGAAACCAGACTTCTATTATTCTGGGAACTTCCCTTGCTCATAGTAGAGACTCGAACAGGTTTTGGAATTCTAATTATTGACTTGGGGAATTTAGGTAGTTAGAGGGTGTAGATGGGAAGCAAGGCGCTATGAGACGATTAGTAGGCACAGCTTAGGACGGATCCGCACTACATTTGGGGGCTGTTCCGGGAAATGAACCCGGAACCTATCTCGCTGCGCACTGCAGTAATCCTTCACGACTTGATCCAGCCCCAACGCAAGACCCTGTCGGAGTTGGCTCTGCTCACAAGGCGCCGCCAGTAATATACAGAGCAAAAGCTGTTTCAAGGAATTATTCCCCACTCCTTAATTTTGCGTTTTTGTTGAACCCCACGGCTTGTGAAGTGACTGGCACTAGCGCCTTCCCCACGTGCACCAAACCGCTCCCTCATACGGCAATCGAGACTATTCGAGGTTTGCAAGATTCAGTCGCGAGCTATAATAGATTCAAAATGCTTAAGTTCCAGCAAATCAACTGACCTGCCTTTGCGCACTGGTTCTGAAGGGGAAGCGGTGCTTTGGGCAGCCCAAGTCACCCGAAGGGCCAATTTGGTATGGTTAGTGTAGCTGGTGTTGTCAGAGGTCTATTCATGTAGTTGGGGATATTGGGGTCGAATTGATTGTATAGCATTTACCTAGTCAGGATCACCTACATCAGTGATCGCGGAGGCCTCCCCCAGTGGCGGGCCCTGCCAGCTCTTGTCAGCGTGCGCGGAAGTCGCGATACAGCCAGCATAGCAGCTGAGCGGGCACTAGCAAATTCCACCGATTGACAGCGTTGAATAGGTGTATTGAAGAGGAAAAACCATCATCATCAACTATGGTTGCGGACGGCCTTCAATGAGGATCTTTTCTCTTTTCAACACTGCTCCCCTAAAAATTCATTTTAGCAGGATAGGAGTGGATGTTTTACGTGGCTTCACAGTTGCCCTGACCGGAGGCAATCCTGGTAGGAACAATGCAAAGATCACTATTTCCGCAAGGTTGTGGGAGACCTCTAAATAGAGAGGGGCTGCACTGTGCAGATTCCTACCTACCTCAACTAATCCCGAGTACTGGAAAATGTGTAGTGTGGCAAAGCGCCAACGGCTGCATCGACATGCGTACAAGTAGCAACAATATTAACCAGACTGCATGCACACAACCAAAGCACGGTGTTCTGTTGCGGTGCCGATACAAAGTATCTACAACTGGTTGTGTCTATCTAAGACTATTCAATGCTGGATACCTCTAGGAATTCTACTAACATACTCGGGGCTACCCGGGTGTCTCAATACACCAGGGCTGGCGTGGTTGTCCTGCAAAAACATTGGACAGCGCTTTAAGCTTGCCCAACAGTCAGGTAGCAAAGAGGAATGTCAAGCGCTTATAGCTTGGACAACTGTCTACACCTGAATGGTGGCCACTGTCTGGACTTTTGGTAGCCGATGGGTTAAATGCTTCTTTGAACAGGCGCACCAACTACCTTCTAGAGCGTTACCCATAGCTAGCCCTAGCTAACTCCGCGCTACGGCCTTCGCGCAGTGCTTTAAACCTGAATCATTGCAGTTTTGACACTTCACCCTCAAACAGGCGGTGGCTTCACCTCTGCAGTACGGCACGTACTCACTGGAAAAATTTCCCCAAATGGAAGGAAAACGAATAGCTTCTAAGGAGAGGCATTTCTGTGGGAGGAGGCGTATGCCTTCACAACTACACGGAATGCATGCGTGTTGCTTCACCTGCTAATGAATACCGGTCGAAGCTGCGTCGTTGCAGCAGTACAAGGACCTCAGTTTGTTTCTGGCTATTTCTAGTTACTTCTGTAGGGGACAGGAATGACCGCTGTTTGCCGTCTGGCCGTACTTCGCCGCATTGTAATATCACATAAGGATAACGTACTAACTAAATAATAGTGGCAGCTCCTGCACGCATATAGCCAACACGTGACGGGCTCCCAATATACACGAGCCCTTGAGGATCCGCCTAATCTATCTACTCAAAGGATCAAGAGCACTCCCGCACTGCCAATGGAATGTGATAGCCGCCACATCTTCCCGTTAATTCGACGACGCACCGCCTAACCCAACCAAAGGTGTAGGGAAATCAAATTAGCATCCAACTTCATTCAAAAGGGATGGAACATTCACTTCACTAAAGAAATGGAACATTCACTTCACTACTCACTGCACTGCCCCTATCACGCAAGACTCAGCAAGCATGGATTAGAACGCTGGTGGGTGCTTGTCCAACAAGCGCCAGCTGAGGTGTTTTTCAGTACTCTAGTCTTTTCCCGTACTCTGTCCTACCAACGTAGCTCAACAGTAATTGTTGCGCTGGGTTCAGTGGATCCTTCACTGGGAACGTACTGCCTGTATCATAGATCAATGATCCACCACTGCGAGCGTGATTCTTCACGTACTCTATCCACTGCACTCATGTGGCACCAAGTGAAAAGAACGCTTCGCGTGTGATCAGGAATCTGACGTTGGTATTCTTTGTAGCTCAATTCTTCTGCAAGAACTCTGTTGCATCGGGTCTGCATACGAGCTGCAAACTCGTATACAGATCCTTCGAATTGGTACTTAAGGCAAACCCATAAATGTTTGTGCATCTATCTGCGTCTTTCCCTTTACGAACGGATTTCTTGGAGATGGGACGCACCAACTTTACAGTCGAAGTAACCAGCATTCTGAAGCAAAAGTGCGCAACCCACAGTACGGTCAAGTTCACCGCTTAAAGAACATGAAAACTGCTGTATTAAAAGTTGCTGGATTTCGCTTTGATTTTGCGTTGTACAGCGCAGCTCCCATAGGCGCCGACAACTCTTCCATTCAAAGAAGTCTCAAGGGCGCGCATTTTGGTTAATGTGGTTCGAGGAGCGGGACACTGCTGATGAAGAAGAACGCACGCACTTGATCAAGACCCACCTTTTCCATGTTTGTCATTAGAACTTGGGTACGCCTCTTCCTGAAATTTTTGGTGCTAGGAGCTCGTCTTCCTGTTGCTATGCACAGCAACGACTCTCCAAATGGTAGCAATGGCCGTGCCCGCGGCATCTAGGGCAACTACCACTATACTCACTCTCTACGGCGGCATATACTTAACGTGCGTACTCTACTCCTCTCTGTAGCCGACCCTTAGGCGAGATCAAAGCGCTATATATATAATATATATATATATAT